ATTACAGGCATGTGGGCTCAGTTTACTATGGCATTTGTCATCTGTAACAGTTGCTATTTTTTCCAGTTTGACAACTAGCTGTGTAAGGTGAACGTCCTGCTCTGTGGATATGAAACCAGGGGCCTGAGGGACGCCCTCTTCTCTGCTCTCAGTGATCACAGACGAATCAAGTGGAAGGGCATCACTGTTTTTTGATTCCACTTTGTCCCTGGACAAAGGAACAAACTCAATACACCCCTAAACATAGGATGCAGTATTCTTATTAACATGGCTGAAGGCGTTTGGTTGACACCATATTGGCTGTTGATTGCAAAATTAATACAACGCATTACCAGTTCTGAAGTAGGCAGGGAGGGGTGGAGGGGACCTTGGGTGTGGGGAACTGAAGAAATGCAAGGAGCCGACAAGCATCCGGGAGAAGGGGTCCAGTATTGAAAAATGTAAGGAGCATTCACTGATGATGAGGAACCAGCAGCAAACCACGTGGACTGACACAAGGGGATCTGAAAGACTCGATTCGCTGCTGTGAGGTGCCACCACCAAGGTGAAATGGCTTCCAGTGAAGCTGAGGAGACCATCCCAGGCAGCCTCAAGTTGGGCGGGCAATGGTGTCACCAGGTCACTGTCCTTACCTCCAGATGCTCTAGGATATAGGGGGGGTTCGTCATGCCGAGCCTCAGCATCGCTCCCTCGGGAATGACTTCAACCAGGCGCCACAGGAGCGAGGGGAGGTCGGTGCCAATATCCCTGCCGTAGGCCCCCGTGTCTTCACTGGTCAACCAGATCTCACAGACACCCTCTGCGAACCAAAGGAGATAATGAACAGATCTGTTCAGAGCTGCCGCACCCTACAGCTGCTCACCCTCCTGATGCAGCCTCCGACACCATGCCGCAGGCAGTCTGGGCACTCAGTTGCAGGTAAAGCAGCCATCCCTTAGCGGCAGGGGTTATTAAGTTCTGTTTATGAACACCCCTGAGTTACCAATGTTGCAAATTGTCAGTGTGTCCTAGGAAGTGATCAACGTGCACAGCCAATCGGTTCAACTGAGCTCCCTCCCTCCCTCCCTGGGGGTGGTCGGGGCTAGGGCTTCAGGCCCACCTCAGAGAACATCCAGCTTATTGAACACCGTGAGCCCTGGAACTGAAACTGTCCCTGGAGAGAACAGGTACTGTCAGCAGTCAGCCTATCACCAACCCAAGGAAAAACGTCAAGCATAGCTAAGGATTGACTGTCAAATTACTAATTCCAAGGAACTACTTCTCTGTAATAGTTTATTCTAATCTTTCTTCTCTATTCAGGTAAAAATACTGTTCATTTTATTGCTGTGTCCAAAAACGTTGGTTGCAGCATAAACGGTGTTTGTGTTGGAAAGCCATTCCCAGACTTTGTGCTCCCTACTTCCCAGTCAGACTTAAAGTGCATTTATATTTTTTTTATAAAGAATCCTCTCATCAAATATTACAGCTTGCAAAAACATCCTTCCAAAAATCAAGAGGAAATCCTTTGGATCACCTAATGCCATTTCAAATGAATAAAACAGAGTGAAGGAGAGCCACCCAGGGTTTCCTGTGCACACACAGAACATGTCTGAACCCATACTCAATTAAAG